ATACTGTGGTCAAAGAAAAGATGAAAAGTCAGAGATCTGTGACTGAGGGAATAGTACAAATCTAAAACTTCTGCTCCTCGCTTTCCTGTTAGAAGATGCATGTATTATTTTGCATGTCTGTAGATTGTGTTTGAGAGTATCTGCATGTCAAGCATAGTTTCTATAATTTGATATTTCTTTTAAAACAAAACAATCATGGAAAAATGATCAATTACAGGACATTTATTAATTATAATTAGAATGCATGCTAATCAACTGGCCTTTTAATGTGAATCAAATGTTGGTTTAGACATTCAAGATTATTAATAAACTCATCTTACAAGTCAAAACTTTGTAAAATAAATAACCTGTTTCTAATGTAGAAACCCTATTCTAAAATACATTAAAGATAACTGATCACTTAAAACACTTTGGGTCCAGTGTTGTGTCTCTAGTTAAGTACCAGAAGTCTGGGCAAGGATCTTCCTGTCTGGATCTTTGAATGCCCAAATTAAAGCTAACTTTCTGGTCTGGGTACAGTAAGTTCTGTATTTTGCACCGTCTCCAAAGAGACAGTTTCCAAAAGAATTCAACTAGCACTGTAGCATTATAGCTTAAGATACTGTATGAAAATTACTATTGCAAAAATACTTTATCATTAATTCAGGGATTGTGATGTATTATGGAACCCCAGCATGATCTGCATTAGAGACTTTAATTGAAATACTGAATACTTGATGCTCCATTTGGAGTGCAGGTACTTTGTGGTACATAGTTATTAAAGGACAATATTGGACTGTAACTGGTGAGGTATCTGCAGAGCCACATTGCAGTTTGTAAACAATAATCTGAAAACAGCTTTGTCTCAAAATCATAATAAATTGAATAAACCAGTACAAGGGAGAGAGTGAAATACATGTTCTGTAGGGCAACCACTGCACTTTTGCAGCATCAGTTCTCCCTGCTGCATGTTACATGGTACATATCCATGTATAAAAAGTTTCTGTTTCATCATTTTCATTTTGCTTTTATTGCTCTCAGTCTTTGACTACAAGGTAAGGAATAAGGCAGCAGTTCCCAAAACATATGAAATTAGGCACTGGAACTCTGACAACTTGCGCAGGTTTTGCTCATTTCCTGTTTGTAACTCTGAAGCTGGACAGAGCACTTGTACATTCCAAATGTGTTCAGCAGCAGTTGTTGGGCCTTGGACTGAACTTCCTCCCATTTAGATGAACTACCAGGAACTGGAAAATCAAGAAAATAATTGATAGAACTCAGTCCTCAAGAAACCTGGACAATCCAGCCGTTTCCATATTTATCACAGCGTTATCAACTAGAATATCTTTGTTCACACTCATTTATTAATTTAATATTGGTCTGTGATCACTATGTACTCTCTCTATATTATTTTACAGCTCTAGGTCTATATCCTCTAACTAGAATCACATCTTGATAAAACTTTATGTGTTAGACACCACCACCCCCAAAAAAATTGAGCTTTCTTACTAAGAATTTATATTCATGGTACTGTTACATGTCTAAATCAGCACGTTTTGGCAAAACATTTACTTCTCATATATCAGATTGTTCCATGTTAGAACTTCACTCTATCTTTCCCTGGACAAAATAAGGGAATTTTTTAGGAGAAATCCTCCCCTCCCCCAAGAATCTGTACTGGACGTTTCAGTATGAATATATTTTCTTTGCACAATTTTCACTTACACTGTGTCCTTCTAGGCCAATGAGTTCTATACCTCGCTGCACAAAACCATAATTAGTTGATTTTTTTTTTTCCCAGAACAGTATTTCCTGTTGCAACTTAAATAATAACATGAAGAAGAGAAAGCGGGATTTTTTCCTACACTTAGATTTAATCTAAAATTATGCTATACAGCAGCTTACCTAGTTGCAAGTGGACTATGGCAGTTGTTTTTCCTGCAGTGAGAGACCAAACATTTAAATCTTCTATAGAATAAACATCTTCAATTTTCATCAGGTCTTCCTTAATGCGATCCACATTTAAATGCCTTGGAACTCCTGTGATACCAAACATGAGATAAAACCGTCTTATGCAAACTCTCAGTGGCCTTTAAAAAATGACAGATCTCAATGCCAAGAGTTTATAACTTGTGCTGTTTGAGGTGATTAGTAACTTCCAAGTTATCAGTAGAGAATAATACGCAAATTGGCATGTTAAGTCCAGTATGGATACAGAAGTTGTACAGAAATTGCTGTGTTGTCTCAAATGTAATTTGTCCTGTCCAGAATCTGCTCTCTGGCAATAGCCACCATTAGATCCTTTAGAGTGGTGTACTTGTGTAGACAACTTCACTGCAAACTGCTTTGACCAGACTCTAAGGTCAAAATATAAAAAAAAAAATGCTAGAGCTTATCTCCTGCTGTCTCCTGAAACTTCTCTCTTTGGGTAACTGGTGTAATTTTTAAGTGGTCATAGTAATCCATCTGTAGTGGACTAAGACCTAATGACTTTTGTCTTATAGCATGGCATCTTTGCAAATCAATGATTGCACTGACCAAGTCCTTCTGGACGTAGTATTTTCAGCAGCTACAGCACATCTATAGCTTCCCTACTCCACCCTTGAGCCGTACGAAGAGCAGAATCAAAATTTTAGATGATGAACAGGAGCTCAAAAACTAGTACAAAAATACTGAACAAACTCTGTTTCTGAGTATTGTTTCTATCATTGCTTTCACTGCTTAACTTTCAGTTTTATGCAGTCTGGTTATATATACTATGAACAGTTCAGCCACTTGCTTCTCAAATGTCTTCAGAATTTTTGGATAACTCCTCTCTGAACCTGATGCCTTACTGTCCTTTAAATTATGTTAATTCCATTTCCAGTACCATCTCTTTTGAAAGCTCAGTGTCTAGGATTGTCTCATATTAAACAAAATTTTCCTTCTAGTGAAGACTTAACAGAAAATTATTTAGCTGATAAATAACTAGCTAACTGCCTGGTATTATTTCTACAGCCTTCTTTTTCAGGAAACATGGACTTAAATTTTTGTATCTCACATCATGCTATTGATAGACTTGCATGCTGCCTTACAAATCTATATTAAAAGCTAGAATTTCATTGTTTGTGTTAGATAATCATTTAAGTTTTTAATCTAGCATTCCTAGTATAATGCTGAAACTTAAGTTAAAATTAGTACTGAAAGCTGATACAACTCCAAGGACCCTGATGTTATAGTGGTGATGTCAACATAAATGCATGTCCATTCTCTGGAGATCCTCAATTTGAGTTGGAAAAATTCCCTAGCATAAAGCCCACTTATCATCACTTCTAATGACATCATTAATGAGATTTTTATGACAACTGGGATACCTATGCAAACAGCTACAACTCAAACATCTGGAATCTGATACACCATTACTTTGTCTTCTCTGCTTTCTTCACCTAAATCTTAGCTATTGTCTTGGAGCTAATTGAGGTTTCTTAAGCAAATTTCACTATTTTTGCCATCTCGGTGAACTTCCATTTTGTTGGATTTATTTTTTTTCCTCCTAAATGACAGCAAAAGCACTTGGCATTGAAGATTTTGAGGTCCTTGATTTAACCTCCTAAAATAATAAAAGTAAAGTCAATAATAGCTCACATGAGACAGCTAGGAAGGTACAGCTAAAACCTAGGATTTTTTTCCCATCCCTAACATTTTCACTTTCATAAGGTAAAAGTACTAGATCAAGCAGTAATAGTTGGCATGTTAGTTATAATAATGCAAAGAATGTTGCTGGCATCTTTCCCTCTAAGTCACCACATGCGATAAGATTCTTAAGCTTATGTTCAGCTTTTTCTTTTCCTTTTTTTTCCCTTCTTCCTTTTTACACCACTCTTTACTTGTAGCATCCCCTATGCTAACAGTGGAAGCACACAAGTAATACAACAGCACTTGTGGAAAAGGTGAAGACAGGACAGGTGTGAACCATCTGTCCAGCCATTTGGCCTAAGCTTTCTTCCTCCTTTTACATGCATTCACATTCACTTTGACTTTGCAAGTAATTAAAGTGTAGAACTGAGTCTAGGCAAATGTTCACTTAGTTTAGCTGACAGCCACTTGTGGACACACAAGAAAGTTCTGTACGTTTCACTGCAGAGGTCAAAGACACCTAAAGACTGCTGCAGCTTAGATGATCCATCAAGAACGAACAGACTAAAGCAGCAGCAGCATGAACAGGTCCTCAGACACAATGCACTTTGTTAGAGGTGGTGATCATGATGTTCGAAAAAGTGCCAATGCTCACTGGTATTTGACACGTAAAGTACTGCAGACTGTGCACAGATCTTACCTTCCAGAATAATAACTCCTGTGTCACACAGAATTCGAACTGTTGTCAAAACCACCAGTATGGAGAATATATATGTACATATAGGATCAGCAATCTTGTATTCTGGCTGCAAGGGAAGAAGTTCCAAAATGTTAATGGATGTATGAAAATCAGCTCACTAATAAAAATGTGACTCAGAAAATGCAGTTACTTCTACCTGCAACTTTCATGAGCATTTCTTCTTATTTGAATAGTTACCAAATACATGATAGTCTTTGCTTATTTGCATGAATGTATGACACATAATAGAATATCACAAAGTATTTTTTAATAACTTACAAGAACAAGTCCCTTTTTAATTTAATCACTGGAGTTGAAATTTTAAAAATTCCACCCTGCAACAAAGACCGGCCATTCCTTACCTTAAAGCGTATGATGTATGCAGCTACGAGCACACCAATACTTTGTACCAGGTCCCCAAGGGCATGTACAAATGCTGCTCTCACGGCGAGGCTGCTGTGACCATGGCTACTGCTGTGGGCTGTGTTAGGAGAGTTCGACTGAGTGACGTGAGAGTGAGGGTGGGAATGGGAGTGGGAGTGAAGGTGGCCAGACTGATTCAGCAAAAAACCCATTCTGAAAGTGAAAGAAGAAAAACAGTCCAAGAAACAGGCTTTAGGGTTTGGTGGGTGGGGTGGGGTTTTTTTGGTTGCTTTTTTTCCTTTTTCTTTCCTTTTAAACCAAAGAATTGGAAAAGTCATACTTGGTATCTTTCTTGTCTTATTTATGCAAATGAAGAGGCCCAGCAAAATTACATCCCATGAGAAAGTTACAGGCCATGAATGAAATGGCAGCTTATTCAGAAATACATTTATGAGTGTTAATGGAGAGAAAGGGGGATCTTACATTAAGTTAACTGCAACACCAACGGCTGCTGTAATCAGCATGATATCGCCATTTATTTCATAGTCCATATGGATAGTTCTTTGAACAGCTTCATACAAGAGGAATGCCATAAGGATATAGACCAGCAATACACTAATGATGGCTGACAATACTTCTGCAAACAGAAAGGAAACAACATTACAAAAGTGAGTCTTAGACCTATTTGTATTTCCAAATTAGAATGTGGACAGAGTCTTAATTACTTTAACTATTTTATGCATATTATAACCCTAATGCACAACTAACAAGTGCGGAAAATAAAACTCTCAAAATAGGATTAACAATGGAGTTTGTTCTGATCAACTCCTTCACGCGTTGCTGTCAGTATATCCCTCAAATTATGTTTTCTCTGAAAACGTCTGCACAAGCAATGACTGTGACTTCTTCAGACAACCCAGAACTTTTGCCTGAAAAGTCGCAGACAGACACGCGGGCCTGTCCACAGGAGAGGAAGATAGGTGATCTCAAACATCACCAGCCCACCTACAAATAAGAGAAAGTTTGTTTTCAAGTGTCCATAGTATTAAGCTGGATTTAGAAATTACTTTTATATATCCTTTTTGTATTTAGGATGGAAGAAAAGTTATAAAAAGATTAAGGAACTGAACAGTACAAACTTGTCAGACATCACTCTTAAGCTTCTTGGCATATGTGTACATTAGTTATTGCAGATTTCAGCTATAAGGATTGATTAATGTAAGTTTCTAAGTATTGCTGTAATATGCTGTTTTAACATTATCTCATGTTTACCAAATACTCATATTTCACAAAACTAAGAGTGTTATGACCAACACTTTGGTGTAGGAATTTTATTTGATCAGCAGGGACTTTCAAAAGAGCACATACATGTAAATAAAAAGAAAAATAGAAAGTTAATAAAAACTCCTAATATTTCATTGTCCTGCACCTTCCACTGCCATTTACGTCTGTGGAAAGTGGTTACAGCTCTCTACAAGGTTTGGGCTGTTCTGAAGTGAGATAAATGGGCCTGAATCTTTTATGGGTCTGGACCTTAGTGCTGTCTGCCTCAGTACTCGAGTCATGAAATTGGGCTGGTAATAGTATACATAAACCCGAGGAGGATGAGTCCACACTACAATTTTAAGGTCCTACTATAAAGAATATAGGTATTTTCAAATGGGTCACTAGATTCCTTTTAACATAAACATTTTACCTTCTAGTTTCATATTCTGAAAATTATTACCCTGCTGCAGCTGAAACTTAAAAAAAAAAAAAAAATTGAAGGCAAGATACCTGACAGAGAAAACAGTGGCCCAGTTAAAAGACTGTCTAAGTTAAAAGCAAGTTAATACGAGGCTTTACAAAAACCACTGAGAAAACCTTAATGCTAGCTCCATTGTATCGCATGTAAATCTGCAGCCATGCCTGAGTAATCTGTAATCGTTATGTGTAATGCTCATTACTGTCACTTGCCAGATGGATCACTGGGATCTTAGCCATCCTGTGTGAATTCAAAGATCAGAGTTGGAATTAATTTACTTGGAACTGTAATGCTTGTTCTTCTCCCTTGTTCCACACATTGCCCTGATTTATTCCCCAGTAAGACTCTTGGCTGTACCATAGCTTTAAGAATACTGAAATTGCCTCATTTGTCCCTCTGCTTTTTATCTGTCAGCGTGTAGTACAGCTTGGTTACTTCAGAAGGTATCATTTCTAACACAGAACTGCCTTTATTTTATTTATTGAATATTACAGTAAAAAACTGTATAAGCGTTTTAATACCACCAAAATCACTTGGTCCATACACTGAATTTTTAAGACCGTTATGGGAGAAGAAACTCACACCAACGCATTCAGCTGTTCGGTAGTGTGTCAATGCCTGGACGAGTACCAGCATTACCAGGCAGTAACAAGGCTCTGAAAGGCAACTGTCACAATCTCAGATGATTTCAGAGCAACATGAAAATCCTGGAAATAGCCATGCAAGTGGTAGTGTTCTTTACAAAGCAAGCAGATTATTCAGGGCAACAGCCTTAAAAAAAAAAAAAAAATACATTGCTTAGAAGGTTTTCCAGAATGCTTTTTAAAAAATTTGTGAAGCCATAGCACATTAGCATTTACCAGAGAAATAACATACTGTGGTTTTGCAATCTAAACCCATGTTTTCTGCAGTGGAAACCAGTGTTTTCTTTCCAGTTTCTTTCACAGAGTCATTGTCATGTCAGCATTGTAGATTTGTGCTGAGATCTTTCCCTTCTTGTGAAATGAACCGTGCACTGTCTCAGTGGACTGACTGATTCTGTCATTACTAACATTGTCTCTGCAGCAATGGAAAAATGCCAGGTTCCATATCTATGATGAAATCTACCCAGTGTCTTGCTGAGAAGGAGGTATCTCCACTTGGTGGTGAAACAGAACTATTTTTGGCCTCAAGAATATAATCCTTTTTAGACAAGACTGCAGTTTCCATTATTTTGTCTTTTCTAACCCAGTCCTGAACCTGTCAGCTTCCTTTTCACCACTGAAAATGGAATAAAACTGCAGATGGAACATACATATTATGTATTCAAAGAGAATTCAAATAAATGAAAACTAGCGCCTATTTCCTTCTGGAATTTGACTAGACAGCTAACAGGTCTGTTGTATTTGCAATGTAATGTTTAGGGGAATGAGACTGAAAATTCATCGTTATGCAAACAAAAGTGATAACAAGCACCAGAAACATTGTTCCTTAGAATGTTTTAATGCTTACTGTATGTATAGACTATCTTAAAACTTAATGCAAAGCAGGTCAGCAAGAAGATAGTTCTTGCACATATTGCCAGCTTTAAACAAATGCTCCACATTTTTCTGTGACAGATGCTCAATGTGTACTCTATTTTTAACATTCTGTCATGTTTTAACATCTCGCTCATGAAATTCAAGCTATTGTTCAGCTCTTATTATTTGCTGACAAGCTTCTTACATACATGTTACATAGAAATACATGTTACAGCGAGGATACACCCTACAAGCAGCTTTGTTCCATTGACAGCATTCACTGATGTGTGAAACTGGGCCCTTGGGCCACAGCATTCAGATTGGGTGCCTAAAATCAGGCAAATAAATTTCACAAATATGACTTTAAAAACTGTGCACAGTAATTTTGAACCATCCCATCTTCGGTACTTGCAGAGCCTAGCTCAAGGTTTGGAAGTCTCCTGCAGGGCCTTTACCCACTTCCCCCTCCTCACTGCAGCCACAGAAATCACCCCCAGGCTCTATTCCTCTTCCGCCTCCAGAGAAAGCTGCACTGCTGCTAGTCACACAGAATGGCTGAGGTAGAAAGGAACCCCTGGAGATTGTGTGGTACTCCTCAAAGCAGGGTCAACTACAGCAGGTTGCTCAGGGCTGCATCCAGTTGGGTTTTGAGCACTTCCAACTGTCGAGACTCCACAGCCTGCTCCAGTGTCTCACCACTTACTGCCTCTGGGCAGCAGAAAAAAAAATAGTAATTGTTGCAGAACTGAGAAGCTGCTCCCTGCCTTCTTCAGGGAAAGGAAACTGAGAAGCTGCTCCCTGTCTTCTCCAGGGAAAAGATGGTGGGCGATACGGACTAATTCTATGGGCCAGATCTGGCTCATGGGCCACCACTGTATCAGTCTGGCCAGCATGTATCTTGGCAGTAAAATGGGGGGAAAAAAAAAAAGATACAGAAGGTGAGGTGGCAGGAATCCTCAGGGATTTGTGTTTGCAAATTAATTAATTGAAAAGTCAGTGAAAATTTACAGAACTGAGTAAGATTTTAATGGTTGAGTAAGTTTCATTTATTTTTGTTAAGATTAACTCCTGTTTTAAGCTAGGCCAAGACATGCTCAATGTATGTACTATTTGGCTTTAGAAAAGTTACAAAGACATATAAACTACTCAAATTATTTTTAAATAGTCTTAAAGTATGTATAAATGCTAGCAAATATCCTTCTGGAGAGTATGAGCAAATGCCAGGGGCATACCTACAAGGTCAGATTTCAGTATTAGGAGAGCTCCCATCACAAAATTAAAACTTCTTGAAAGAAAAGTTTGTAATGGGAAATGCTGGCATTGTTAATACTTTCTTGCTAAAGCCCCGAAGATCTTTGCTAGTGTACAGAGTTATGCATTCATGCATTAGTGACTAACTGATGACATATGACTAGGAGTGATGGAGTTGTTGAATTCTACTGCTGTTCTAGCAGCCAAAATAAGAATTGCAAATAATGACTACACGAGACTTTGAAATTCCTTGGAAAATATATGCTATAGAATATATATAGCAGAGGTAGCAAAATGTGACACTAGAAATCATCTATTTCATGAAAAATAAAGGTTGAAGCCTTTGTTAAAATGTCTACAAGACGTGCAGCTGTATACTATGAATTATTATATCCAGTTAGAAACCACATGAAAACATCCTTTATCATAATTACATTTCCAAACAGGAAGTAATGAATCCTGAAAATATGCTTCCAAGGTTTAGTACATACTTCTGTTTATACTTCTTTTTAGAGACACATAAAATGGACAGAGGTTAAGTAACTTACTGTATTGCAAACCATGGGACACTTTCACCTCTGCTTTGTGTAGTTTGGGGACTCCCAAGAGGAATACTGATTTATGTGGCTTCTGGCAGGGCAAAGCTCTCTGATAATATGCTCTACAGAACTTCTTACTTCTGGGTCAAGATACCATTTTTCCACATTGAATAGGACCTTTTCCCAGTGTCGTAATTCTGCTGAAGTCAATGGGACCTCATAAATCCTGGGCACTGGCAACAATCAGTTGTGAACAACAGCTGACTGACATGTACAGCTCCTGCACCAACAAGCTGCTCAGTGTGTCACACAAGCAGTAACAGTGGTACAGCAGTCAGTGACTAAAGAACATGTTCCTCTTGCTCAACAGCCTCAATTGCAAAGCACAAAGGTACACAGGGGCCTGACCTAATGCAACAGCCCAGTAACTATGGATGGGCTGTGAAACACAGCTGTATATCCACCCTTGTTCTTGCTGGGGACAGCTTCCCCCCTCTTTAACCCTTTTTAAACTTTTTAGGCCATGGTTCATTTGTAGAAAGTCATATTTACAATGTCATCATGTATCCAGTTCCTCTTTAAGATGGAAGATGAATCAAGCATTCAGAATTTACCACTGAATCTTTTAAGTCCTAGTTCCACAGAGATGGAGAGACTCATCCTGCTCCTAGTGAGTGAAACTCTGACATGAAACTTCACTTTTGGCTGAGGTTTAAAATTTAAAAAAATATTTTTTTTATTATCTATTTCCTTGTGGCAATACAACCTATGTAGTAGATCCACAATGGCCAGTGAGAGGACATTTGAGTCAGTGTGTTAAACATGAAGCAACTTTTAGGTTTGTTGCTACTTTCTTCCTAGTTACCTTCTAGAATTAGGTGATCTTGACAGTTGTTGCTTAAAATACTCTGTTAATAGCAAAAGCTGATATCTACATACCTAAGCGATGAAATCCAAAAGTGAACCTCTTTGTGGGAGATTTTGCAGACAGCCAGAGAGCAAGCAGGGTCAAAATAATACCACTAAGGTCAGTTAACATATGAAGTGCATCTGTCATAATTGCGAGACTGTTAGCAACATATCCACCTGAAAACAAAGTTGGAAAAGTCAGGACGCATAACATTAATGATTCTAGATAATATCCTCTTGGCACAGCTTACAGTTATTTATTTTCAGAACAGTGCATTAAGTGCATGAGAGCCCTTCTTATAACTACTAAACGGGTTTTTTTTTGCCATTACAATCAAAATGCCAGGCTACGATTTAAAGCTACCATAGTTACAAGTGCAGTGACTTGTGCTTTCTGTTAAGAGTGACATAGAAAGGATTCACTCCTGTTATTCTCACACACACTACTTGCATCATAACATTTGCAAGATCAGGTCCAAAACAGTTTTGTATCTTTTCTCTATATATTATTGCATATATGCTTAATCAGCTAATCCTTTTATTAAACTACATCTGTTAAATATTTTGACATTATGGAACAGGGACAGAAATCCAGTGACCCAATGGCAAGGAAACTTACCCTGCCCCCTTTTTATTTTTATGACATTACCTTTTAACGTTCATTACTCTCTGTCCTGGCAGGGGTGTATAAGTTCTGCCAATATATATAGCAGACAATGACTTTTACTTGCACAGCATTTTTCTTTGTTATTTATTACCATAATTTTTTCTCCTAATCATGAGCTGCATTGAGACAAATAACCTCAGATCAAAGGTTATTTGTGTTCCAATTCAATTGCTAATGCTACTATTGGATGGGTGGGAGATTTAAACAATGCACCTCTCTCTTAAGCATCCCTTATCCAAACGGGAACCAAGGACAAGCCGCGTTGGCTTCCATATGCATGAAGGTAAGCCCATTTTCTCAGAAAAGATCACAACCTTAGTGTCAGCTCAGCTGTGATTTAGTTTCTCTTTTTACCTTGAGATTGTCATTCAGCTTGTAAATTCTACTGAGCAAAGCATCGCAGCTGGTGTGCCATTTGGCAGGCTTGAGGCTCCAGCTAACATTTTGAGTAAAGGTATCTTCACGTACAGTTAAAACTGACTTAGGGAAGAGGCTGACGATGAGGAAATAGCAAAGGGAAATTCACAGCTGATTGCTTTCAAGACCTAGTCATAAAACATACGTGTGTGTGTGGCTGTGGGTGTATGTGCACACCTGCAGACAGAGCTACACTCTCCTCCCCAGCGAGACACAAGCAGCAGGCTGATACTGTAGCATTGCTTGTACTGTGGGTAGCTATCAAATACACCACATTTCAATTAGTTCCTTTCCTCCATCAACCCTTCTTCAATTGTTCATAAGTTTCTAAGTTAAATTCTTCTGAGGCTGAAATTTTTCAAAGGCCATCACAGCTCAAAAATAATGAGTTTTTAAGATTTAGCAATTCAGCATCTTTTTTAGTAAAATGAGTTACGCCTTTCCTTTCTGAATTGTGTTCTCACGTAACTTAAAAAAAGATGACTTAGAAATGTACAACTCAGCCTCTTTTATAATCAACACAGAAGAAACAATAATTTATGTCAAAGGACATTCAATTCAGTAGTTTACATGTATGATCATTTAAAATATGTATGTTAATTCACATGTATTAATTTTGAGAATCACTTCAGTCTAAGATGAATCAATTCTATTTCAGCTAGCCTCTCATTAAAGACTTCAAAAATAAAATTATAAAGAAAGAATTCAGGTACTGAAGCTAATCATAATGAGCATGTGGATTAAGAAAACATAACTGAGATTTATTTATAAAATTCTGAAATCAAAGATTCTCTGTTTCCAAATGTATTGGTTCATTGCTTGGTTAAAGGTACTGCCTAAGGGCTGTTCAAACATGATTGGCAACTTGGAAAAAAAAGACTATAACCTTTACAAATAGACAGCTTGATTGCTCACCACTGGTTTCAGTGACCCATGAAGGACAGCAGTCTTCCTCATGGAGGATCAATTAGAAATCTCTAAGCATAGCTGAAAACATCAAAACCCTGTCAGAAAAGCTAACTTGGACTCGCAATATGTTTTTCATTTCTTGATGCAAAATGGTTCCCACAAAGTGTAAGTTGTTATCTGACTTCTACAATGACTGTTCATCAAATTAAACAGCAAACACTGAGGTAGGCTGGAGTAATGAGCTTGACTATGCTTTGGAAAAAATATGCTAATCAAGATTTCACAAAAAAGCTGCTGAAATGAGATTTCCTTCATCTTGAAATCAGTAACAGACAGCCGAAAGATTTTTTTACTGAACAAATTAATTGTCTGATAGGGTATTCTGCTTTTTTCTCAGAAAATCAAATCTGTCAGAGATCATAGAATGTCCTATATGATTCCCAAATACCTGAGCTACAGATCAATTCAAAAAGTTACAAAAAACAGACAAAACACAATACAGGGATGGAATGAAATAAATTAAACAGGTAAGGCACTGACCAAGACTTGAGGACTCCATCTTTAATTACTTGTTCTGCTGCTGCTAACTTGTCCTATGAAAAGTCATTCAGGTCAAGATCCGCAAAAGTACAGAGATACTCAAGTCCTCCATATACCCTCTGTGGAGGTTGGATGCCTGAATATTTTATGGGTCTGCCCCTTCACGCTGTCTGCCTTGATGCCCAAATAATGAAATAGGGCTACCAACAGCATACATAAACCTGAAGAGGACGACCCACCCTACAGTACTAACACTTTGTACAGACAAAAACACCACCCTGAGCTGGGCCTGCAGAAGTCCTGGCTGTAAGGGAGAAACAACAGATGATGTGACAGTGATGAGAAGGTATTTTTACTCTCAACACGTATTATTTCTAGAGCTCTCCCTGCATTAGCTATGGAAAGGTTCACAATAGCATGAATCGGATCCACAGCCCCTAACAGATACACTCTTAGTGACTTCAGCATCAAGCTGCCAACAGCTCAGGCATTCAGTAAAGGGCCCTTCAGATGAACTAACCTCAGCATATATCAGAACTCTGATATAAATACAGTCAAGTAAAATCACTCTCATGTTAAAGGATGTCTGTGTCTGAGATAGATACAACACTGTGTTGCTCATGAAATTTACCTGAGTTCGTGCTGAACCAAAATGTCAGACTAAAAAACGGAGCCAGGGGCCAAATGCAGGCATTCAAACAGATCGCTGCAACAGGTTTGATGCAACGTGCCTTATCTGTGATAAGCTGATGTGTTGTGACGGTATTATTAATGACTAACCACACACTGAGAAATGTTGAAGGCCAAAAACATTTTTTTCCATTAACCCACGTTCTTGAAATAAGGCCGCAAATAAAACTGATGCAGCTATAGTCACTATTCTAGTCTGTCTCTGAATCTCCTACAGATTTTTTTTCTACATATGTGGGACAAACTATTATTTACACTTGAGCAATGACTTTGCTCCCTATCCATCTTGTAGAAGTTTCTGTCTTAAAGATACAACTCAACAGCTGTCCTAGGACAAGTGATCCAAGAGCATGAGCTCACTTCACATGAGCAAATGTCCGATCTTCAGTCATTACTGGCCAAATTGCATAAGGGAGGAGGAGAAGGGTGTCAGTCCCATGTTACTACACCTGAGGCACCTCTGTTCTTTACTTCCAGAAAGTTTTTGTGACTTGCTTCTCCCCCCACCATTATGGCCAATAATTCATCTGATTAGCTCAGACTTAGAGTTGTATGTTAAAATGAAAACAATTTAAAAGCAATTAATTGCTATAGTTGCTAGAGAGACCTGGCTCAACATCCACGTCAATGTACTGGCACTGTGTAATGCTCCCCACTACTTCAGATCAGGGGAAAGTGGATGAGAGAGTTTAATGGCTCTTCAGGAGGCTGAGTAGCACCAGCAGACATTTGCCCTGATGGCGTGGATGTAGCCTAGAGACAGATGGCAACAGGACACTTCTAAGTGAACAGAGATTAAAAGATAAATACTATCCTTTGTAAAAATGATTAGATAATGGCGAAGGTATAATATTTAATAGCTCATCTATACATCCAAGGGATCTTCGAATTTAATTTTATTTCAGGCCTGTGCTTTTATAGTCTATTAAATAAAGCACAGCCGTTTTGTACAGACTGCTGTAGAATGCACAGGTTCTCTTCAGCCTGAACAGCACATGATAGCATGTCTTTATGAAGGAGCAATAAAAACTGATCTTGAGCACCGTATTCATTCTGACCAACAACAATCAGATGCTTATGTAGGAACAAATTTCCAGGTAAAAACCCACCATACTTCTGCCAAGTACTAACAAAAAAACAAAAAAACCCCACAAATAATTTCATCAAGCTACTTGGTATTCTTACGTGTTGTAATGGGAAGTGTTAAAGTACTTTTATAGACTTCGCTCATATGATTGATGTCTGGATGGAGCATATGCTAGTCCAGAGCATGGCAGGACCTCAGGATGTTGTCAAGTGAGTGGCTTCTTCACTGGGTTGTTACCAACAGCTCAGGATTTGTCTTTTCAGTTGTAAATAACAGAGTGTATTGCTGTATCTGGTGAGTAAGTACACATACCCCCCAGTATTAGTTTTGTTATGGTAAATGTCACACTTGGAAACTCTATTTCCCTCCTCTTCTTTTGGTGCAAACACAGCAAGATTTTATGGCAGTAATTAAAAAATACTGAGGATAAAATTATTCATCTTCTTTTATTTATGTCTGTAATAAAATGCCACTTCTTCCTTGCTAAAACCGTAATAAGAGAAATTTACTGGGAGAAATAAAAACCATAGACATAGAAAAAAAGCATATTCTATGCCATCTGGGTGGATTGACGAGATTCAGGTAAGGGAAGTTGCAAAGTTCTCTTTTCTTTTCTTGCATGGAAAATACAGGTGGACTTTGCTCCTTCTCACTCTCTGAACTTGCAGCTAATCTCTCTGATCTCTCTAAATGACAGATGGTTTCTCTTAGTAAATAGGTAAAACCAAGGCCGGAGCAGGGTAACAGGCTGTGAGGCGCCCGCGCCGCAGAGACGGCAAAAACAGCCCCCGACTCACCTATCAGCTCCCCCGTCATGAAGAGGAGGTAGAGGAG